ATGTAGACTCACAGTCTTAAATACCTGAGCGTAGGCGTTCACACCAGAACATCTATTTGCAGGATTTAAGCAACCACTTCAAAACACAACCTTTTCTTCTGCAGTCTCATCAGCAGTTTAACAGCTCCCTCCCAAGGCGGTGGTGACTCTCCAGAGCCCGTCTGCAGAGCCGAGCCGCGCGGGCCRCGCAGGAGCCACCCCAGCACCTCCTGCAGCCAGCGAGCGGATGGAGGTCCCTGGATATTCCCAGTGCTGAGGCCTGAGGTCAGGCACAACCAGAGCCCCAAGCTGGGGCACTTACAGGCTCGTGTGAACACGGAAGACTGGGACTCTTCAGGGAGAGGCCCCAGTCCAGGTTCTGAGGCTACAGGACGGCTATCATCTCCGAAATGCCATGTGAAGACAGGCCAATGACTTTGTTGTGAGGCAAGCACCACGCAGAACAACGAGCATGAAGGAGGAACAGCAAGCTCTAACTACAAAACCAGTGAAACAGCAGTGTGATTTGCAGTATTTTTTCATGCAAACTCRGGCTTTCCTCTCTGACCTGCTCCTAAGCTGCATCCCATCCATACCTGCAGAGGAGCTTCCTGTGCACAACGCCCACGTTTGCTCTGAACCAAACAACCGCCAGTGAAGAATTGTTTCCAATATTCCCCAGCCTCCCCCAGCATCCACAGTGCAAAACACCCAATGAAAGGGGCAGCCTGTTTGGCGAGAGCAGCTGCRGGACCCAGACCTGCTGAAGGAAGAGCACGTGGGGCCAGGGCGCTCCGCACACCGGGGCCAGGGCGCTCAGCGTGGCAGGCGGCCCCGGCTCCCAGCTCCYGGCTCCTGCCCCTTGCGCTTCCCAGCCTGGCGCCGCTTCCCGGGGCYGCYGCTGCCCTGGYGGACACTCTCGCAGCAAAGGCCCTCAGTCCACGTTAAACTCTCAGGAATGTTAATCCGTCTGCCTAGAGGGAGTCAGGAGCGAGGCTTCCCAGTCAGGAGCTGCTTCATACTCCTTCCCACTCACCCATTTTTCTGCTCCCAAAACCACAGAATGACAGTTCTTATTTAGTCTTCATTTACTTTTGATCAAAAATGTCACTTTGCTTAATTTCACCTAGATGGCCCCAAAATAGCACACAATGTTATTTATCAAAATGAACATTCTCCTCAAAAAGGAAAAAARTCTCCAAACAGCAGCTTACAGGAAGGAAACTATATAAACTCTATAAAAATATTCAAAGCACTCCAGCAGATACACACACACCTAGGAACTTAAATCCTAGTTATTAAATTATGTTGAAAATAATTACTCAACTGCAATAATAAAGATGTGACAGACAGAAAGATGTATTTTTTTAGAGCTGTAAGTGGCATTAAAGCCAGAGACAAGTTGAATACACAATATGGCAGGGAGCAGCCTAGCTAGGGTGGCATTTCCATCAGCCTAAGAAAATAAAATTAAAATTTCTGCATCACAAGCACCAGTTTTCAGCCTGTGAGTATTCTCTTTGGTTTTGATACTAATTCAAATGGATGAACCATGGGCTCCGAGTCGGCTATATGCTTACATATTTGTAAGATTAAGACTTACTTTTTACCCCCCCTTCCTGAATTCACGTTACAAGGCACGTGCAAGTATTTTGTGGTATTTTTAAGCAACCTCTTATGTACACGGCGCTTCCCTGAACACAAGCCCCAAGCCACCTGTGAAGCCGCGCGACTCGGCCGCAGTTGTGTGACGGGAGCGAGAGCCTAGCCCAGAGCCTGCATTGAAATGTCCTTGATTTTATCTTCCTCCAAACCCACCAAGACATCTGACCGTTCCTTTTCTCATCTCCCTACCTGACTTTGGGAGGCAGCCTGAGGCTCTGTTTTCAAGGAACAATGATTTGAAAGGCATATGGGCTGTCAAGGGACAAATTACATGTGTAGAACTGTAATTGCTGTTTTCCCACATACATGAATATTAATTTCTTAAAGCACTCTTCTTCCCTCAATCAGGAATGGCATTCATATCGAGCAAGGGAGCTTAGTGCTCGCCAGTCTGCAGCCATGGCAGCTCATGTTTTAAAACCTGTTTTAAATCAGGTTCCCATTTGGCTTTGTAAAGCAGCTGTAAAGAAGCAGTGTATTGTTCTGACTCATKTTGTGCAAATGCCCAGGAAAAGGCAGTTACGCTGAGAAGAGAACTTGTTTAATGAGACACATATCTAGAACTGGGAAGTATGTTAGGGAACAATAAACATACAAATTCATCCTGGGAACTAGGCACGGTGTTTATGCCCCCTCCATACAATCCAATGGAATACAAACAACCACAAGCCTTTCAGTCGGGGTTCGGAATACTCATTGTAGGTGCCATCTGCTTTTACTTTTTAATGCACCGATGAGGACCCAGGACAAACATCCAAGTTGTGCCTCACAGCTGAAGAGTTTTAGCTCACACTGCTCATGCTTTTAATGCTGAAGATCCCCAATTCAATCTCATATACAGTGTTCACAATGCCAGGCATTTTCATTAAATCTATCCTGCAGACAAACACCTTTTGGCTATAGCCACTATCCCGATATCCTGTATTGCACTAGGTCAACTATAATCTTGGCATTTGACAAACAACTAAACTAACGTCATCTTTATCTAGCAGCAAAGGGTGTAGGGGAAAAAAAAAAAAGCTTTCTCATCAGAAAAACTGCCAACCCAGTAGCATTCTGGATGATAATATACAAGTAAAACAGCTTTTGTCTCTCCTTGCTCCCCCATCTGCTAAAGAAGCTGGCATTTCATCTTAACATATTGTCACTAAAATCTTTATTATTCTGGGTTTCTAAAAGCTTAACAGCTAAGGGGCTGATGGTGCAGGTGCAGCTGGGCACATGCTTTGGCAGAACAAACAAAGTCATTGTCTTTGTATGATCCCATCCCATCCAGGCCCGAAACGTGGCAATCACACACAGGTGAAACCACCTATTTGTGAGGCAGGAGGGGCAGGAAGCATTTTGCAAAATCTAAGGACACAACATTCACAGTGTTTTAACACTGAAGAGCCCTGTCTGACAAATGTGTGTTCTCTGATCTGCTTTCATCTCTTAGCATAAGAATCTCATCATTTTACCAGAAGTATCAATTCAAAAAACCTGCTCAGAAAACTGACCCACACCTTCAACAACAATAAAAAGATCCAAAGCAGAGTCAAGCAAATGCAGAGGAAAAAAAAAAAAGAAAGAAAGAAAATTCTTACTGGTGTTATATCACTGCAGATGTTAAAATCCAAACCAGAAGGTTTAATAACTTTATGCTACCTTCTAAAAGCTGCAACCATGTGGATAGAAACATTGACAAAAGGAAAGAGTTTGTACAAGTKAAAGAGGAAGATCTTGAAAAATATCTCTTGATAAAAAGCAGCAGAAGGGAGTACCTGGAAATGTGAACATATGTGAGTCACCTGATCCCAACCATGCAAAAAGCATTAGCTGCTGAGCTTGCTGCACCACTGATGTTTTTCAAGATCCCTGGTATTTGGAAAGGCGCTGCAGTAAGGAATGTCATCATTTCTTGTTTTCTAAGATGAATATTTGCCTTCTCCCTCAGGCTCTTATGCTATTTTATGTTTCTACAGACACAGCACCACACCTGTAAGCACTTTTATTGAAATGAGGTAATCCTGGTGCAATCAAAATGGTTTGCTTCCTTCGAGACATGGTCTTCAGAGAGGAACCTAATGGGATAGGGATCATCTTCCTTCTGCTCCCCTGCAGCAAGCAGGACAGTCACCCTGTGAGCGCGGGGTCTGCCTGGGCTCCTCATGGAGCAGCTCAAAGGCACCTGGACATCAGCTCTGCCACGTTCCACTGGTGATTCACCCCCAATAAAGCTACCTAGCAGGGCTGCACATAACAGCCGCTCGAGAAATCCTTGCAGAAACACACATTTACACTGCCTCAAATGGAAGCAGGAACAGCCGTGCTGAAAACTAACTGGCAACTAATTAGTTTAAGCAAACGATAATGACTAAAGATGCCAAGACAGTAGTGTCTGGAAGGAGGAACCTTGCCTGGGTGTGCTCCTGGTTAGGCTCTGCTGCACTTAAAACCTCCGGTGTTCTGGAGGAGGCTTCTCAGCACAATAAACCAGCAACTTCTGCAAACCCTAAGAGAAACATATTTCCTTGTGCACTAGGTATGTATGGAGAAATACACAGTCACTCCACTAGAACCTGTCATGGTAAAGCTCCTGCAAGAAATGACTCTCAGAATCCTAGATCAGCATGAAATACAAACTGAAAGATAGCTGAAATTTAGCTCGCAAAAGCAGAAAAAGCTAATACATGTGGCGAAARAGCACTGGCAACATGAGAGAGAGAGAAAACTGGAAGCACAGTATGACAAGAAGCCAATAATGGACCACAATCTACCCTGGAAGAGCCAACATGCTGCAAAGCTCAAGGCAATTTGGTCTCCATGTGCAGACGCATCTTGCCGAGTCGGAAGACCTGTCACATGCTGTAAGCACCTCAGAAAATTATTTTGGCACCGCTCACAGCGATGCCGAAAGGCCGGTAACACAGACACACTGACACACACAGGTGGGCAATCAACGGGCTGAAGGGATTGCTTACATGGAGTGACAAAGGAGATCCAAGGAGGAAAGCCTACGTGTGGAGAGCCTCTTTTGTGCTATGAGGAGCAACCTTGTCTCTGCCTTCCTGCTTTGGAGACTCCCTTTGCTGCTGTGTTTGGGTGGTCTCTGCACGAGCAACAGGAAAAGAGAATGGCAGCAGTGCTCAAGAGGGAAGGAAGGAGATACCCCCTGCAAGGTGCAGAGATCTGCTCTGCTTCATCAGCCTACACTGCTCTGCCACCACCGCAAACCTATGGCACACACCAGTTTACACTCAGCTTGAGCTCAGCCTTCCTTCCCTCCCCACAGAGCCCACAGCTGCTGYAGCGGCAAGAAAACCATCCAGGCCAAAGAAAAAGCCGAGTGGGAAGTGTCCTACATGGAGAGCTTCCTAGTCTGCTTCCTAGTCACTGAACAACAACTTAGGGAACTGAAACCCAGATTCTTGGCTTTTTGAGACACAAGAGACTTAAGCCTTCAGCTAGGGATGGCAGCATGTCCTCTGAGAGTTATCAGGGGTTCTCAGCATCCCTTTCATGGAGCCCTGAACACTGCACAAGGTAAGATTCATAGAGCCAAAGGAAAAAGGGCAAGAAAGAGCTGGGGAATACCAGGGGAAAGACTGGAACTCCATATTTCTTCTTTGCAACTGCAGCACTAGCTTCTCCATTTGTACTTTCCTGTTTTCACACCTGGATTGCATCTCCAGACTGAGGCTAAGTATCTCTGTGCAGCCATTCCCTACATTATTATTCCCTAAGTTTCAATATGTGCTTATATTTAGGGCATTTAGTAATCCAGTCTGATATGGGATTGATTCCCAGCAATGGTTTGCATTATTGTGCAATTGTGTCTTGAGCCTTCCCAGAGCTAAAGTTTCTCTTACCATTGTCTCAATGTGGTTTTACTTTTCTCTGCTATAAAAGTGGATTCACAGGTAGGTGTTTCCAACTCCCAGGAGTACAAACTCACTGACCTTTAAAGCAGATACTTTGTTTTCTACTTGACACCAGTGGCACCCCAGTGGTCCCAGTAAGGTTCCTACAGAGCAGTAGGGCCTCCTCCCAGGCCCCACAAACTGCTCCTTCTCTCTGCTGCGCAGGGATTGCTTTGTTAACTGGAGGTCTTGAAGAACCCTTTGGTGTGTGATACTCCTTGCCCTGTTTTTCCTCTGCTGTTACATGATGCCTTCAGTTCAAGCAGCCAAACTGGAGCTGGCAAATAGCTTCTCTCTAGTTTTTCACACACTGCTGCAAGGCAAAATAAACAGTTGTTTCCAGTTTGTATTTGCAGGGCTACAGATCTGTGTTAATTATCCTTCCAGTCCACTAATGAAAAACTGAAAGAGATTCAAATGCCTTTTTTCCTAAGGCAGAGACCACAGTCTTCTGGACACCTGTGCCTGCTAACTCTGGGCTTTGTAATATCCAGAGCACAGCACACTATCATCTTCTCCCTTTATGTTGACTCTGAAGACATTTTGGGATTTTACCAGGGCTTTACAAAAGGCCAGGAGACACTGATTAAATCTTGCAGAAATCCAAGCACATCATGAGTCTTCTCGAAGCTGCAGTGGTGCCAAAGATAATATTTGGGTTGACCTGAAACCATCTGAAAGACGGGCAACTTCAGAACAGGGAAGCAGGAACTATATGATAATATGAGAGGTTCACTGTTTGTTTGTTTCTGTTTTTAATTGATGGAGTACTTACTCAAATTTCTTACCTTCTTTTTGTTTTCTAGAACAAAACAAAACAAAACCATGTCTCATATATCCTTTAAGTAAAAATGAGTATTATCAAGATTGACTTGGCAAACAGTCTGAGCAGCACCAAGGAAAACTGGAAATGAATCTACAATATATCTGCAATTTCTCTACCAGGCTTAGAACCGGCTGTCGCGGAAAAGAAGAGAACCTCCCAAGTCCACAGGCAGCACTGCAGGCTCTTCTGAGAACAGGAGGCAAGGAGAGCCTGGATGCATTTCCTTCGCTACCTTTTAGAAAGCTTTACCTCACAATACGCAGTGGTCTGCCAAATATTTCTTGTAATCTTTAACTAATTGTTTATTCTAGTTGTTCTTATTGTGCATCAGCCAAACTAACGGGGCCTTTTCTGTTGATGTCGGAGTTCAGAGTCAAGGGATGTGCTACCACGGCAACATGTTACTCTTATGTTTTAAGGTTTTATCTTTGGTGTTTGCATATGTGTACATATGCACAGGACAGATATGTGTACATGCAAACACACAACATGCATAGCCACAGCATTTGCAGCACAGACACACAGATGCCACGGGGAGAGATTTTAGATGTACTTAGGTACCTAAAGCTACTGACTTTCATCTAATTCCTAACACCCTTAAGGAGCTGGCTCCACAATCTCCTCCTGCTCCTTCCACACACGCTCCTTTCCAGTGGCTGCTGCTATATTTATCATTTGAATCGCAGTATTACCGAGAGGCCTCAGGCAGACTGGTCGTCCCTGCTGTCTCTCAAGCAGGTGGGCAGGTCTCCACTGCTCAAATAACACCATTTCCAACAGTTAAGATGTCCAAGGTCTTCACACTGTCATCACTTTTCCACCATTATCTGGAAATCCTTTCATCTATCCTCAAACAACAACAATATATCCTTACTGTCAGCAATCACTTGCCTACAAGACTTTTATTACCCTAAATGCAGGAGGACTATTGTTAATGCAATATTATGAAGGGGAAATCAGGAAATGCAGAGTTAAGGCTGAAAACTCAGCCTTCATTTTGCCATCTCTGCTTATAATTTCATTCCAATTGAGGTTCCTAACAGCTTCTTTAACACAAACAATAAAAGAAGATATCTGTCATTTAACATACATAACACAAATTTACCATTTCTTAATCCTTCTGCAGTGAGAACATACAGATTGACTTGACAGGCTACAGATTTCACTGAAAAGGGCAGCTTTCTCTCAGACAAAGCATTTATCYGCTATTTTTTGTGAGAGACTAGTTGATTAACATTATTCTGTAGTGTCAAAAATTATATGGAAAAAAAAGACTGTACTGATGGGTAAGAAAAACTCTTGAGTTAACTGTCTTCATTCTGGGTTAGCTTCCTTTAGACTTACAAAGCCTGGCACAGCAGGAAAAAAATATATTAATCTATAATAACCTACATAAAACATATCGGGCTTGCACAATTAGGGTGGTTATTAAAAAGAAAAGATATCTTAAAGAACTGAATTTTAAAGAGTGTTCCCAAATCTCATAGCCTATAGTAACATGAAACATAGAACATCTTGGCCCCCAACTGATTCATTTGTCAAACAAGAGCAATTGGAAAGGTTTTCCCATTAGTTATGTCTCAACCTTATATATAAAAATTATTCCATGCATTTTAAGCAAGTCTTCCAATGAAATTTGTTTTTAAGTCATACTTAAGGCAGAAAGCAAGATTATGAAGAAAGAACATAAATTATTGAGGTTCCCCACCTTTCAAACACTAGAGAAATTCCTGCTTTACTCCCTGTTATTTTAGCTTTAGAAAACAAAGGAAACAATACTCAGAGAGTTGATGAAGTCACTGAAAAGGCACTCACACCTACTCTAAATACAACCAGGTATCTACAAAGGAAAATTTAAACACATGCTGTCTAAGCAACATGTGTCAACCTGGTGCAAGAAGTTCAGAAAGCCCCAAACGGTTCCCTTAAGGACCCGCTGCCTTAAATGTGATCTTCCCGGCTGCACGACAACCCAAGCCATAGGAACGTTGCCCAAAGCAGCCAACTTCAGAATTAACTCCCGAGCAAAGATAAATCTGAAATCRCAGGTTTAAGATAAATCAGAAATCACACTCAATTTCAGAGAAAAGCAGAGACCTCCTGCCATGCAAAATTGCTTGCAGAACTCCAAGTAGTGATAGATGAGTGAGGTACATAATTAAAGAGGGGGAGCGCAGGAAGAGGCTCCCAATTGGCGAAGAAGTCACAAGGGACTCATATTTAGAAACAGGGTAGAAGYGATGGCATAATATAAAGCAACCAAAAGGGGAAAGGGGAGAAAAGCACATGAGAAAGGATTGGATAGGGCCCAAATGGCCAAGAAGAAAAACTCTGCAGACGGAGTTTTGGCACAAAAAGGTACTGAAAGATCTGTTGTCTATTTCTGATGGATCCTTTGAAGTTTTCTGGATTTCATCTGATTTTCGCCTGTCATTCTTTGCCAAAAAAAGATAAACTCTGCCAGGGGGAACCTACCTTGCCTTATCCCTATCCTAATAAGAAAATAAATAGTCTGTTTTAAACATTAAACTCTTAAAACGCAGGKTTTTTTTTTCTATGATGTGTTTTAGAGTTTGATATGTCCAAGCTGTTATACTTGCAACTGTAACTGACCAAAGTTGTTGTTAGTTGAATATTTTATATTTAACCTGAGTCAGAACTTGGACCTTGGAGCTACCCTGGGAGCTGGGGTTCACCACAACAAACCCACTAACTGCATCCATCCTCCACCAAATTGGGAGATAGAAGTTTATTTTCTAAAATGCCTGTGCATATGGGTATGAAATACTTCCCCCCCCCCCCCTTTTTAAAATTGATGTTGACAGTCTTCTAGATATGTGTCAATCTGCAGTGATCATTATTTTTAATATTCTCTAATACTATACTATAATACTACAGTACTAATAGCCTATTGTTTTAGGTTTCATAACAAAATACATACATAACAAAATATGTAAGCACAAGTTTAGCTCTCAGTCTTTCTATGAGATTACTAGAGCTCTTGTTTAAGGCGCCTTGCTGTAATGCCTGGCTATATAGTCAACAATAAATAACTGCAGAACTAAAAATTATCATACAATGTCTGTATTTTATTAAAGTAGTCCATGATGCCAAGCCTGCCACAAGCACTAGCTCCTATTAAAATGACAGCATTTATTTATATTGCTATAAGCAATATATTGAAAATTTCATATCCATTTGCCAGCCTAATACATGGGAGTAGCCAAATGCTATTTTGTCACCAATATTGGCAGATGCTTTATAATAGTGGTATTTATATAAAGTGGTTGTCACATAAGTAACACATGTAGAATTCAAGTGAGTGTTAATTCAAAGCAGCAATAAAGGAACTGGGTATGAAAAGTACAAGAAAAGGAGTCCAGAAAAGAGGAAATCCAGATTCTCAAGACAGTGAATACACCTGCCTAATAGTCAGTGTGATGCCATCACTTTGAAGGCCATGATCTCCCCACAACGCCAACTGTTCTAAATAACTTTTAACATTTGTGTGTTTTATGCTAARACAACTTATTTTACCTGTTTGGGCTTTTTTTTTTTTTCTGTCTCAAATCAATTTAACCATCCCTACACAAGCTCTCTGAGTTGACTCCAGTCCAGTTGTTCTCTCCCACATTTCTGCTTGGTAACACCACCAGCCCTTCACCTGGGCACGCTCTTATTTTATTGAGGTCATTCTAGATCTTTTTTTCTGCTTTCTCTTCAGTTGCATTAACAGCTTCCTTCCTATTTTTAAATCAGCAGCTAATTTCAGCAACTAAGTGCTTATTGTTTCTTCAGGGTCACTCATAAAACAAACACCATTATTGATCTTTTTGATCTACCACTACTTTTTCCCTTTTATCTCATCTGAGTGACTATACAAGGAGCAATTACTCAACAAACCAGGACATCTATCCTTAGATAAACTAGGATAGCTGAAGAAAGACATTTATACCCAGGTGTTAACACAACTCCTATCATGGTAGTAGCCAAGCAACTCATGAATGCTGGTGATCTTGTCTCCACAACACGTCTCTAAAGATAAGACGGTGTTAACCATTTTTTACTGGGTGGGGAACTCAGATACAAAAGGATTCAGTGAATCAGAGGCAAAGCCACTCATGAAATGTAGAACGAATGGAACTCTTGTTTCCTACCTGCCAAGCCAGTATCTTAACCATAGCAGCACCTTTCCTCTATGTTTGCATATGCATTCTAGAGACACAAGTGCTTATTTATTAGATTATACCGTCTAATAAGCCGGACACACTTTGATGAGCATCTTAGGATAACTGGAATCACAAACTAACATTAAAAAAGACAAAAAATCTGCYGCCTTATTCACTCTCTTATTAAACTTAAATACTATTATTTGGGCCAAAATCCAGTAGCTATTCAYTGTCCTTCAGTCAAGCTAAGGGAAATTTTGGCTTTGCCCAAGAAAATGTGACACCAAAACACAAAGCAGACCTTCAAGGCAAGATTATATGAGCGACATCTTTCATAAGATAARTAAGATTTACTGGCCATTACTGTTTTGGATAAGTATCCTTAGATCAACTACTAGATACAATTTATATACTTTTTTTTTTTTCTCTCTTGCACAGGAAATTCCTGCCAAAGGTCTCAGAGATGTAAAGCACTGTTTTGTAGGACAATAACAACACTGCTTTTTAAAAGTATTATTGCTTTTATTATTAAGCTAGTATATTAGGACAAAAYGTGTAGGTGTTTACATGAGGACACAAAGATCAAACACATTAATTGCATAATGGATAAAAAGCTAGGAAAGAAACGCTCAAGGATTTGGAAACAAGTGGATCCCTTGGATAAAAGGYATTTAATTAATCAGAATATCTGACTTGCAGTCTCAACTAAAAATTAACTTTGCCACGTTTGTACACAAGGATTATTTCCCAGGGAACAAAATGCWGACAAGAGTCCTTGCTGGTCTCTTCTTCACTTAAAGAAGAGGGGGCAATTGCCAGTGCACATCAGACGAAATCTCACAACCAAGATGAGGTAGTCCTRGTAAGGACCATATGAACTGTATTTT